TAGATCTCATAGCTGAGCTTTACCTATAGATGCAGATGTTGTCAGGGTATCCAAGTTGTAAAAGCAGACATAATTATGGAATACATAAAAATACTTTTTAATAAGGTCACAGGCTCATTTTTGACTCAGACAAGATTTTTTTAATAAAGGATACTATTTCTAACTTTAATAAAATCTGATGAAGCAAAATTTGATCACCATCATCTAGATGAACCAGGTTTAGTACTGAGTCTACCTTGAGACATATATGAAACCATACACTACTACTTGAAATAGGAAACTAAAAACATATTTATTTTCTGCTCTTGTTTTACATAATCTTCCATCCTTCTATTAAATATACACACAGACTTACAATATTCTTTCTCAGGCAAAAATTACTGGCAAAGATTTCCTAAGGATGGTGCTGTTGGGAGGGAACTTTTGGACACTTGAAGTGTCTTACATGAGGGATTGACCTGATAAATTCTTTACTTTGATGCCAACCCTTTTGGTTCCACCTCAGGGGCTGTGCAGGCCTCCTGACTATCTATGAAAGTGTTTTCTCTCTCTATGGAAAAAGATTATGGAGGCAATAAACAAAATACATAATGTGAGGTGTAGCTTCAGGATAAAGTGATAGTTTTTTCAAGATTGAGTATGAATGAGAAATTAAGAAGAAGGGGGAGGTGAAAAGTGTCATTCTCATATACTTCAGGTAGAAATGACCATCCAAGACTTTCATAGTATGTACATTAGGTTACATATAGCTGTCTAGGCCCGTGGTTGGCAAACTGCGGCTCGCGAGCCACATGAGGCTCTTTGGCCCCCTGAGTGTGGCTCTTCCTAAGCCTTAGGAGTACCCTAATTAAGTTAATAACAATGTACCTACCTATATAGTTTAAGTTTAAAAAATTTGGCTAGCAGAAGAAATTTCAATTGTTGTACTGCTGATATTTGGCTCTGTTGACTAATGAGTTTGATGACCACTGGTGATGTTCTAGGACTTTTGACCCACCAGTCCTTGGCACACTATACCCATTGGGTTTACTGAAGATAAATTATTCTTTTACCTATTCAGTGACTACTTTAAACAGTAGTGTCTCTATCATTCTCTGTGTGTCTAGAGTTATTCAATCTGGAGTACCTAAAAGAGCTAGCAACTTCCAACCCACAGGTTCTATCCTTATCCATGAGTACAACACTTTGCAGCAACAAGGTTCAGTTACCCCTATATTTTCTGTCTCTTTGATGAAGAATTGAAGTGTCTGATCTCAGGACCCATTACTACCTCGGTGGATCCACTGTGCCTCCTAGAACTTCTCTTGCTGATGGAGTCCTGGTTTCTCATAACATTAGTGTCACACTTGGCGCCACATGACAGCTTGCTGTCCCTTGATGAGGGCCACTTATCCTTTCTGGTGACAGCTGCTGTATTGTCAAATATCTGAAATACTCAGCCAAACCTATTATTGGTTTTATGCTAGTATTTGCTAAAAAGATAGCAAGTAATCTCTTTTCCTAAGTGAAATAATATTCATGTATTTACTCATTCACTATGCAATTATTTAATACATTAAAAATGCTCAATATTCATTACAGAAGTTTGAAATAATATCCCTGACCTCCAGAATTGTTTCAACTTCATTGTTTACCATGGATAAATACTTAATGGGGAGCAGGGTATTCCAGACTCTCCAGAGAGGCATGCAATGACATGACCATTTCTCAGGTCATTTTTCAGAGCATCACCCTTGTCTATGACCTCCCTGCATCAGATGGGGATAAAAGCTGAGGCTGCCAGAAAGTAATAAGTCCAAGTCATTCTATTGGATAATCAAGAGCAATATAAGTCTTGTACCCAGTCGTCAATTTCCTGTGAAAAGTCAGCCAGGTGCCATCTTGGGATTTGGATAAAAAGAAAATGAGGGTGAACTTCTGGAAGTTGAATTAAAGTACAGAGGAGCTTGGATTCATTTTAACTTTAGAGGAGTGCCCTAGAAGAGTTGCTGGTGATGGTGGAGTTCATGTCATACTACCCATGATCAAGACTCCATGGGGAGGAAAAGGCAATTGTTTTAACAAGAGTACCCTCACTCTTCTTAATAATCTTTCCTAGGATAGATATTACTGCCCAATTCAGCATTGGCTTATAATACCTCATGCATTAATAACCACACATGTGAGACTAAATCTCAACTCAGGTTCCACACTTTGCACACTAGAATCACCTGAAAACCTTTGAAAAATTACATTGTCTGATCCCACTCTAGATAAAATTTTGATTTAATCATTCTGAGTTATAACTTGGACATTAGAATTGTTAAAATGTCTCCAGATGATTTTGATACGCAAGTTACTCATTTCATGACTTAAGGAGAATACCAATGCCTGTGTCTCAAACCAGACCAATTGATTCAGCACCTATGATGATGGGACCAGAAATTTAGTATTTTACGTACTTGCCTCAGACAATTCAAATGTGTAGCCAAGCTAAGAGACAAAGAGCCAAAGGGAAAAGGCCTTTGACTTAATTACTGATAGGGATGCAAGATTCTTGTGCACTTATTACATTTGTTATTTCCTTGTTCTTCTGGGAAGAGGGTCACCAATTTCTGGAGAATGATGATAGGCGTCTGTGAGTGCCTACAGTGAGGAGAAGGAAAATGGTCCCAGACCTCCACGTTAAACCCAGTTTCAAACTCCATTAAGGATGCCGTTCAGGATTCTCTGGAACACTGAATGGGAGCTGTTGGCCAGATGTTCCTTGAGCTTTGCACTTTCTCATATATGGTCATTTTTAAAAGCAAAAGAAATGACCAGAATCCTGATTCTCCTCAGATAAGAATTTTCACCCTAAGTCAGAGTGACTTTTCATCTGTTATTACTTTCTGCATGAAGAGAAACAACATAGCTGTGTTGCACATTACTCTGCCCATTTACTTCAAGATGGACATTTGTGATCTTTGTGTGCTGCTAACAGAGATATAATACAGACTTTGAGAAACAGAACACTTTTCTCTATGTATTAAGGTGGAACCATTCATTAGGGTCTCAGCATCCCTGTACACAGTGGACCCTACAGAGATCGAACTAACAAAAGAAGCTTAACCATTACTGTGAAAAGGAGTGGGCTTAGTTGGATTTGGAATATGAGTGAGAGTATAGACCCAGGATATATTCTCAAGTTTGTGGTCAAAGGCGAATGTTTTATGAAATGGAAGCACCAGGAAAGAACAGGTAGTGGATGTGGGACAGGATAATACAATGTTTAGCCTGGATGAGTTTAGGGTGTGCTTTAAGAGCCCAGGGGGAGATGCTGGGTGAGCATAGGGATGTGCACAAATGCAGAAGACAGGCTGGACATTTGGAAGCTGGAGACATGGCAATGTAACTGCAGCTTTGAGAGTCATTTCATTATCTGGGGCAATCAAATAGCCAAATATCTAAACCTAAGGGATTCTGTCTAAGTGTTAAAAGAGAAGAGGACAGGAAAGGAAACAGATACAGCAGTGAGGCTGATTGACTAAACCCAAGAGAGTGATGGCACTGACCTCATGTGTTTGAAGAAAGGAAAAATGGTCCTGGCAGAGAAAAGTGGACACTGTCATCCCTACCTCTTCCTGCTCCTCAATGGACCACATTCCCTCCACCCAGCACTCATCAATGGGGGGGCCAGTCCCCAAGCCAATCTCATTTGTGTAACCTGAGATGGTCACAAGAGAGTAGGAATTTCTCCAATAGACAATAGGATACACAGGATGTTTCTATCTATAGAGCAACCCAGAATCTTCTGCGTTCTCTCAGAAGGCAGAACCAGGAAAGCAACCAGGAGCAAATATAGTTCCTGATAGTTCCTGATTCATATGTAAATGCTGATTCTCATTTAAAAGAAAGAATAAAGGGGTTTTCTGTTTTAATCACCTTCTTTTCACCCCATTGGTGAGGAAGGTATGTCTACCACACAGTTTGGGGGACAGCAAGTAATGGCATCTGTCACTGGACAGATGGATTGACAGATGTTTATTAGTCACATATACTCCTAAACCAAGGAAGGAGGGCAGTGCCAGCCATGCAGGCCTCACCAAGGTTGCCCTCAGGAACAGAGGGAGCAACCAGGGGCTGTGGAGAGTGGGTTATCCCCTGGTTTCCCTAGAAGGTTATGGCATGCTTGTTTAAATAATTTCATGGCTGACAGGGAACTGAAACCTGTTATTCCAGGCTGAGCAGGGTTACATGTGGCCCCCTGACAAGGAGCATTGTTTAGCTGTGGGACCTTATCCAGGAGAGCAGATTCAGGAAGGGAACTTGCAGATAGGCTGTTCAACGCCTTCTCAATTTTACCAAATGTCACAGCTGCACATAATGTTGAACTTTAATGTTAGTCTTTACACTGCATTTTCTTGATTAGGATAGGGCTCAGTCACAGGCCAGCTATTTCTCATGAATATATATGTTTGTATATAACACAGTGTATCTTCATATCTGCTCTATAAATTTGGTTGGGTTCAATGAGTAAAAGTTACACCACAGGATTTGGATGGAAATACTGTCAAATGTTATCTTCTTCAAATGAAATTAAACATGGTTAAAGGCCACACTGAGACTGGTAAGAAATCCAGTATCAGTTGTTTAAGGGGTCCCTCCCTATTCTGTTTATAGAACAAAGCAATTGCCACTCTCTCTGGCCGGTCAGTGATGGAGCCTCCACACCTTACATGCCATGCTGAGTCATGGGGCATCTCCCCAGGGTTCTAGCGCCAAAGAGCTCTGTCCTCCCTGGCAAGACCTGGTCATCTGTGCCTGTGGTCTTTCCAATTCAAAGACACTGTCCTAGGTCCAGGGGCACTCCAGGTACAGAATCCACAGTCCAGGAACCCCTACCAGGCCCTTCAACTCATGGGAGCCCTCAGCCAAGAAAACAGGATGTAATATTGTCTTAGAAGTTTATTCCATCTTATCAATTTCTCAATAAACCACCTTTCCTTGCATCATTTTAGTCATTTTGGTATAGGCAAATCTTTTTGTTCCAGGACCTTGTTTTATTTGAAAGGTAATACAATGGTTCACATTTCTATAAAATTCACCCTCTCTTTTGTAGCTGGTCTTTCTGTGTTAGAGACTCTGGTTTTATAGGAAAACCTTTTCTGGTCACATAGACCATTCCTCCTGAACTTCACCACAGACCAAGAGTTCTTTTTCTGAAACTCCACTCCATGCAGTTGGTTCACAGCTCAGGGAGAAGTACATAACTTGTCCATGAAGTTTCCCACAAAATCAATGAGTTCCAGATTCCCACAGCGCTGGTCTTCAGGGTCTCACTGGGGATACATACATTATTTTATCTTTTAGCTGAAAAAAGCAGAGAAATGCAAGGTCTGTGGGGATGAAGGAAAACTCTTCAAGTGCAGTCGTTGTGCCAGCTTCTTTCATGGGGACTGTCACATCCCACCTGTGGATCCTACGAGGTTTGTGAGATACAGACCCCTCTCCATCTATGGACCTTCTTCCTTCCATGCACACTCCCAATGCAGAGTCTCTCCTTGTGTCCTGATGGAAAATGAGCAGGGTCAGAAGTACAGGGTCCAATGATATGATGTAGGGAGCTGTTTAAAGATACTGTCAATGTAAAGGTAATGTTCTCCTCTCTCCCCAGGGAGGTTGAGACTGGTAGCTGGGTTCCTTGCCTACATACCACTACTGTCCTTTTCAGAATTTTCCCACCTCAGACTCCTATTCACAGGAGCATAAATTCTAGTTGTCTGTGTTCTGTGCTTATTCAGAAAAGGCATGAAACAAAGATATTTTTCCTCATTTTGCCATGTTCTCAACTGGCTAATAGAGGCACAAGGACCCCAGGGGTTAAGGCCCATTTCCAACACTAAGACTTGTTGGGCATGGCTACTTGTGCTCCCAGCAGCTTAGAAAGAGAAAGGGGAGCCCATCACTCACCCAGACACCATATTACACCCAGTAAACTGCTGCTTCTACTCTAAGAGCCAGGGTTACCACATGAGAGTCCTGGAGAATCTTGGAGGTGTCCCCTCATTCCCTGGCTGTGCCCATCAGCTATGTCTGAAAGAAGAATGGCAGCTGTGGGAATGGAGGTGTTTCTGGGGCTTGCCTTGCTCACTTATATCTGACATCTCAGGAACAATTGGAAATGTACCTTCTGCAAAATAAAAATATCTTCACGAAATCAGCAGCAAGACAGTGAATCTGAGGTCCTGGCAAGACCGATGAGGCCTGAAGAGAAGATGGTGAGTTGAATTTGTCCCAAAACATCTCTTTTCTGCACACATGAGAAGTCAAACAGTCATGGGTGAGGGCAAGAGTTTCAAAGGGTGCTTGCTCTTCTGACCATGCCTCATCCATGCTGAAAATTCACCAGAACCTGTTTGAAGAAAGAAAAAGAAAGAAAAAATCTCAGCTATTACATGTTAGTGTCCAAGAACAATCCCTGTTTGGGAAAACTTCCAGTAGACTACTGTGTTCATGTATCTGCCTAGACATGCATTTGGGCTCACTCTTGCCAAGTTGCTTTTCATTCACAGTCTCCTTCTTTGCAGAAATGTGAATTCCTACTCCTAAAGGCCTATTGCCATTTCGAGGGCAACATTTTTCCAAATATTCCACATGAAAATTATGTGAGTAACAACGACAAACCATGTATAGGCCCCATAATGTTACCCAACCTTGACACAGAGACTGTGGAATCTGTGATCTGAAGCCCATGGGAGGGGGAGCATGAGCTGCTTTTACCTTTACCTTGTATTTCCTCTAGATTTTATGGGAATCCACAGAATGTAGACATTGAACTTTGTCAGTAATGCTCCTATTGATATATTTTTCATCAGTTTCAAAAGGCTTCTCAATGCCTAGAGACACTTAGGAGATTGGATGAAATCAAGAATAGTCTAAATAAAGGATGTTATGCCCAAGTGGAGGGGTTTGTGCTTGAAATGAACAACATCTTTCAGGATCCTAAGGTAAGGGGCTCTCCCTACATCCATTTCATTTTCTATACATTGAGTCACTCTGCCTGCATTTCCTGGTACTGGGAGATTTTAGAGTTTCCCTCATCCTATGACAAGCCTATACAAGCAAGGATTCAGGAAGTGACTGGGTTTTTTAATTGAGGATTTAAGCTCACCAGAGAGAGCAACAGTGAATAAGGAGTTGTCCCTGCCACCAGACTCCAGGCCACTGAGAGCTAATTCCTCTCCTCAAAGGTGACAGGTGACCATTGAGAACAGTGGTGTCCTCCCTGCTCAAAACCTAAGGAAAAAATTCCTTCCTAAAGTCATGTTATCCTTCTTACCTCTCCCAAATATACTCAATCAGACCTCTCAGAGGTCCCAAACTGCAAATTCCTCTGCATGTAAATGAAACATATAACATATCACTAGAGGGGAATAGAATTGACAATGTGAGAGGAAGACCACTGATTGTCCATCTGTAATATTTGATTGTTACTAAGACCTTAGATTACTTTTCCAACTCTCACTGAAACAAACAACCCAAAACCAATGACTGAGAGTCCTCTATATAGTAATTATTTCCCATTTCTGTCTAGACAACAAGAGTTAATCATGCTATTAGGAAACAAAAGTTACTCTTACCAGCTTGAGATTTTTGTATTGTTTTGTTTTGCTTTGTTGGTTTGTTTTTGCTTGTTTTTAAATATATTTTTATTGATTTCAAAGAGAAAAGCAGAGGGAGATAGAGATATAAACATCAATAATGAGAGAGAATCATTGATCAACTGCCTCCTTCACGCCCCACACTGGGGATCGAGCCCACAACCTGGGCATGTGCCCTGACCAGAAATAAACCATGACCTCATGGTTCATAGATGGATGCTCAACCACAGAGCCACACCACCTGGGCTTAGCTGCTTGAGTTTTTAAACTTAATCTGTTTAATGTAACTTACTCGTTTAAAACAAGAGTTCTGATCATTTTCCAATGCACATTGTCTAATGACACTGATATTGTCATTATTTTTTTCTGTGCGTTTTTTCCCCAGCACTATGACTCCGACCTAACAGAAGAGGAATTTAAGAAGAATTTCAAAGACGTCTTTGCTATTCAGTAAACAAATCAGAACAGTTCACTAGTGTAGTGGATGCTGTTGATACCCTGGGAAATCTCACTTTCAGGCAGATTTCTCATCCCTGCTGTTATGTGTATTGACTGCTTATGCCATCTCTCCCCAGTATATTTCTTTGGGCCAAATGGAGGCATATTCACCTGAAGGTTAAATCTCTTTGTCCTGGGGGCTGTTTCCAGCACCAAAGTTGAACCAACCATGTGGAGTGATTCATGTTCCTGTGCTCCTCAGGGAATCAGCCTAGAGCTGGTCTCCAGCTATGACCACATCCTTGCTTAGCATTTCCCAGCACAGTGTCCTGCCTCCCTTATCCCTTCTCCTCCTGAGAAAATTCTCACAATAAATCACTGGCTAAAGAGACTTTGTCTCAGGCTTTGCTTTTAGGGAACCCAACTTCACATTATGGTCTAGCAAGTCAGACCTAAGCATGGAGTTCTGAGTTGGATCACTGTCTAGCCAGCTGGCAACAGGTGGAATACTGTTAGTCCCTGAGGTACTAAAACAGTGCAGTTGCAAAACACATTCACCTGTATGAATGAGATATAGGGGAAGAGGCAATTGTCTAACATTTACAAAGAAATAGTAACTGTAAGAACTGTGTGATTAGGTGGCTATTTCTTTTTTAAAAACTATTTTACATATGCTTTTATTAATTTCAGCGGGAGGGGAGGAGAGGAGAGAGAGAAACATCAATGATGAGAGAGAATCATAGATTGGCTGCCTCCTGCAAACCCCCTACGGGGATTGAGCCTGTAACCCGAGCATATACCCTGAACATGAATTGAACCATGGCTCAACCAGAGCCATACCAGCCTGGCTAGGTGGCTATTTCTAAGCTCATTTAAAGTGTTTAAAAGAGTACATGACAAGCTTATATGTTAACTACCACCTGCATCTGGAAGATACACAATAGAAGGCCTGGTGCAGGCCCTAATTTTAAGAATGACGGACTTCTGCCCACCCCGAGTGTCTCAGTTGGTTGAGCATCCTCCTGTGAAGAGAAAAGTTTGCCTCATGGCACATACCTGGATTATGTGTTCGGTCCTGGGTCAGGATGAGTATGAAAGGCAACTGAGAGATGTTTCTCTCTATGTCTCTCTCTCCCTCTTCCTCTGTCTAAGCATGTGCTTGGGTGAGGATTATATATTAAAAAAAATAAAAGAGGAGAGAACCAAGATGGCGGCATAAGGTATAAACTTGTGCATGCTGCCCCCCACAACAACATCGAAACTACAACTATAAGACAAAAAAGCTATCATCCATAACCACGGGAAAGCTGGCCGAGTGGAAGTTCTACAACTAGAAGGAAAGAAAGAAGCACATTGAGACCGGGTAGGAGGTGCAGAGGCACCAAGAACAGAGATACAAAGGCGCGTGTGAGGCAGGCTGCACCTGGATGCGCCTTTTTTTCAATTGGAAGGAGATACAAGCTCTCAAATGCACTGAGCTCGTTTAAGGCGAGATTCTGGGGTCCCAGACTCATACAGGGAGAAACTGGACTATCTTGCAGCGGTTTGGAAAGTGAGGGTGGCTTTCTCACAGAAATGCTTGCAGGGATCATTGTTGCTGTGGGGGCGCTGGACTGCAGAGATGTGGAGTCGCGGAGACATGGAGACACGGAGTTGCAGAGACGTGAGGAGTCCTGGAGACACTGACGACAGCCATTGCTGTTTGCTCTGTGATTCTCTGAGACCCCGTCCCACTCAAATTACATCCCCTCCCAAGCTGTGCTCAGCGGCGCAAAGGAATCACCTGGGCTTTTGCAGCCTAATCTAACTTCAGCTGTGTCAGAGAGCTCCAAAAACTTCCAAATCCCAAACAAAGAGGAGAAACCTGCTGATATCACTGTAGCTCCTGCTGGGTGGACTCATACATTGGCTGACTTGGAGATCCAGGAGCCAGGGTACCCCTGTTCAGATACCAGATTTCAGCTCCTCACATCCATAAGGGACACACTCAAGAGGCAGACAGAATCAGTGAGCACCAAAGCCCCACTGAAGCAAGTCCTGCCTCATAAGGGTGTCTCTAGCACAGCAGTTCTTCTTATAGACACAGTGGGTCCTCACAGTCAGCCAAAAATGCGAAGACAAAGAAACATGTCACAAATGAAAGAAATGGAGGAAAGCAAACTAATGGAGGACATAGAGTTCAGAACCACAGTTATAAGATTACTCAAGAATCTTCTACAAACTTCCAAGGAACTTAGTGAGACCTTCAAGGATCTTAATGAGAATGCCAAAAAAAAAATGGCAAAGGACCAGTCAGAAATTAAACATACACTGACTGAAATAAAGAATAATATACAGAGATCCAACAGCAGACGAGAGGATCCCAAGAATCAAGTCAAAGATTTAAAATATGAAGAAGCAAAAAACACCCAACCGGAAAAGCAAAATGAAAATAGGATCCAAAAATATCAAGATAGTGTAAGGAGCCTCTGGGACAACTTCAAACGTACCAACATCCAAATTATCGGGGTGCCAGAAGAAGAGAGAGAGCAAGATACTGAAAGCCTATTAGAAGAAATCATGACAAAAAACTTCCCCTACCTGATGAAAGAAATAGACTTACAAGTCCAGGAAGCGAAGAGAACTCCAAATAAGAGGAATCCAAAGAGGACTACACCAAGACACATCATAATTAAAATGCCAAAGGCTAAAGACAAAGAGAGAATCTTAAAAGCAGCAAGAGAAAAACAGTTAGTTACCTACAAGGGAGCACCCATACGACTGTCAGCTGATTTCTTAACAGAAACCATGCAGGCCAGGAGGGAGTGGCAAGAAATATTCAAAGTGATATATAGCAAAAATCTACAACCATGATTACTCTACCTAGCAAAGCTATCATGTAGAATTGAAGGTCAGATAAAGAGCTTCACAGACAAGAAAAAGCTAAAGGAGTTCATTACCACCAAACCAGGATTATATGAAATGCTGAAGGATATTCTTTAAGAAGAGGAAGAAGAAAAAGGGAAAGATAAAAATTATGAACAACAAAGGAACAACAAATACATATCTATCAACAAGTGAATCTAAAAATTAAGTCAATAAAAAAATCTGATGAACAGAATAAATTGGTGAATATAATAGAAGCAGGGGCATAGATAGGGAGTGGACTGAAATTCTCAGGGGGAAGGGGGTGTGGGGGGTGCGGGAAGAGATTGGACAAAAATCTTACACCTATGAATGAGGACAGTGGCAGGGGGTAAGGGCATGGGGTGGGGTGGGAACCAGGTGGAGTGGAGCTATGCGGGGGGGGGGGGGGGAGGGAGAAGAGCAACAT